GTGGTATCGCTCTGCGTACTTGCCGCCCAAGTCCTTTCCTGGCTTCTTCTTTTTCTTCTTCTTGTCCTTCTTGCCCTTTGCATCCGACTCCACAGTGTCTTCCTCCTCGAGAGCCTTCACGTTGACAGCTGGCAACTTTGCCCAGCCTTCCCGCAATTCTGTGAGATAGTCCTGTGCCGATTGGATTTCGAGTTCATCCTCAAAAGCTTCGCGCCCGATGTCGTCGTCTGCCGCGAAACCACCCAAGATGTTGATATCGATCTCCTTGGTATCGTGTACAATGAAATGATCAATATTCATGTGGCCATAAAGCGAACCAACAACAACATCCCGATACTGCTGCATCCAAAGGTTGTACTTTTGCCAGCAGGTTTCATCCCAATTCTTCTTGCTGTCGGTCCGGGCCGGGGGCACGTGGCCCATGAGGATGGCCTTCATGCCGCGTTCGCGGAGGAACTCCAGCTGCACGCGAAGCCATTCCATTTGCTTAAAACCTGGCTCGGACGGCTGTTGGCAGTCGTCGACACCGGCATTTCGGTCGAAAAAGTACAGTGTGTTGAGACTGAAGACGGCGAGCTTCTTGGGAATGACCTCGGTGTAGAACCAGCCTCCAAATTCGAAAGAGTGGCGTTGCTCTTCGGGAATGAAGCGCTTCCAGATCTCGGCATAGTATCCTAACCACTTATTGGGCCCTGGCAAGAGAATATTGTGCGGTAGAATGTCATTGTTCCCAAATGTCGGAATTACAGGCACGGCCATTTTCGAGGAGTCTTTCGGGTCACCAAACGTCTCCGCAAACTTGTCGGCGATCCATCGATTTGTGCCGAGCACCTGGCCCGGGCTACGAGGAATGCTCTCATCGCTGTCGTGGCGCGCAGAGTCGCCAGTCCAGATGACGAAATCAATGTCGTCTACAATATTCGCGGCGATCCAGTCAAAGGTCGCGTTGACGAGGGAAGATGGCGTATCGCAGTCGGAGGTTTCTGCGCCATAGTAGCCGGCGGGTCCATCGCCAGAATGGCACGCGACGCCTTCTTCGGTAGATGAGTGGGTTTTGTAGAATTGATCGGGGTGAAAGTCTACGAGGGCACAACAGTCATTAGCATTTGGTGTCGTCCCACGTCAAGCACCAAGCAGAGAGCGATTCGCCTCATGCGCCTTGCCTGAGCGTCGCGACTGCATTTCTGCCATGCTGATCGTAACGCCCGTGGGTGTCGTCGGGTAGCATCCAAACGTACCAGTAATGTGTAGAAACTTTCCGCTTAGACGTCGAGATCCTTCTTGTGCGACTGTTTCTGCGACCTCTGAACCAATGACGATTTGTTGCTGCCCGCTGGCGACAGGTGTTGCAATGACGCCATGCAGGAACAACTGCTGGACCAGGGCGAGCTGCAGAGGCAGGGCGGCGCCCACTATTGCGGGTAAAGACCGCATTGCTGGGGAGGAGCTGAAGAGGCGCGCGGTACCTGGTTTGATGTTTCTATGGTTCTGACGCACGCAGGCACGGCAGCCGGTTGAAAGGGTGATGATGTTGTTTGAAAAAGAGAAGACACCGTCGCAACGGGGGGGTTCGGAGAGACTGAAAGTGGGAGTGAGAAAGAAGACGGGGGCCAATTCAAGGTTATTAAGTCATGATTTTCCCTTGGCCGAGCTTTGGCTGTCCCCGTAGAAAAATAAATGGAAGCGCGAGCGACGTCTGTCTGGATCAATGGACAGGGTCTGTCTGACTTGGTTTGCTTGGCTTGGCTGTGGCCGTGACCTGGACTTTTTTCCAGGGCTCCAGGGCTGGGGCGAGGCGGTAAGCAGGGGACTGGGCAGCTGGAGTGTTGCTGGAACACCACCTTTGGGAATGCTGTCAGACGTGAGCGGTAAGGTACAGATATGTGTGAGCGTGAAAGCGAGAGCATCCGTACCCAAGGTATAATACACGATGACACCGTTGGAGACTGAGAGAAGAGAGGGAGGGCGCAAGGGTCCACGTCACAGTTACAGCTCTTGGGAACAACCCAGCTGGTCAACCTTGCTTCGTAGGCGAGTAGGCACCCGACTGGACGTAGGGAATCGCGGCTGGTAGGTGACCCTGAATAAATAACACCGGTTGAACTTGAGGGGTGATCCTCCCGCACGCCAACCGCCTGGCTTGCCGTGCTTGCTTTAGAGTTGATGGTCGGTTTTTGCAAGTGGGAAAGTGATGATGTCCGGTGGCGTCTAATGGTTGCATGCCCCTGCTGACTGACGGCTGGGCAGGGGGAAAGGAAAGTCGGTGATGGTGGCACTGGTGAGAAGGAGGCAGCATCAATAACCAACAGGTGCTCCTTTTCTGTCTGAGCCCGGGAGGAGCATGACTTTTAATGTACTTTGTCCGCTCCTTCCGACGACCACAACGTGTCCTGGTGTTGGCATCTCATGCCTTTCACTGCCACGACTGCCTCACACGACGATGCAGCAAGGAACATGATTCCCCGCCTTCCCTTTCGTGTGCGTTGCAACTTACCTTACTTACATGCACGCAAGTCGCTGGAAACACCGCAAACAAGACCATCAAGGTCCATGGCCGACCAGAGGTGAAACCCTCACTGGATGATTATCATCCCGAGTCCACCCCCCATCTCCATTCTCCATCCAGATCTCCAGCACTAATCCACGGAGCACGATGGCCAGTCCACAAGGCTGAAAGCTTCAACCTCCAATCCGCAGCCAATCGAGCTGCAGCACTCCAACACGTGTGTTTTTCCCCACGACACCCACTGCCCATCGAAACATCATGGGCTGAGACAACCACCCCATCCCGCGATATTCCATCACTGCATCAGCGAGGTTGCCGCCTGGTAGCGCCGCACACGAGCCAGTGCCGAGTGTTGAGGCGTCCTAGGGCCTCTGACTGTCCCCCGTGGACCACCTGCTACCTATTCCATCCTCGGATCCTCCCCCTTGGAGCGTGGTAGAGGTCGTCAGACTGAGAGTGTGACCGTCAATATGCACAAAAGTCCATAATGCCTCATCCTGGGGTGGGCTGGTTGGCGCGAGTCAATCCGGCACTTACTCCAACCCGTCGCTTGATCTGCCCGCTCCCCATCGTGGGGCCGCGTGATACCCCGATATACCACATACCCATGGTTTCTCAAAGTGTTCTACATCTCGTCCTCCTGGAAGTGCCAAGGTAAATCCTTCATGATGCATCTCCAGGCAGGTCGTTGCGACCTTCAGTCAGATATCATTGTAGATTCGGGCCGTGTCTGGTCCCCTGCTGACACCTTTGCGCTGACGTCATATCTGAGAGAGTCGTCAAACTCTCGCTCTCATGTTTGCTGGTTGATCCCTTGCGCTCAGTTTAACATAGAGAGATGCTGACGGAACAGAATGTTTGAAATGCAAATGAAGGCTCACCGCATCACATCACATGCACTCGTGTTGTAGGGAGCTGCATAGTCACTCTCATGCGGTGTGTTCCCCTCAGATGGTCAGTTGACTGATTGTCGAATTCGATCCTTTTTAAGGGGTCCTGTCAACCTAGCGGCAGGACGAATTTGAGGTCGAGCGTGATTGGATTGGATTCCTGAAGACCAGTTCTGTGAGTACGTACTGTCGCGCCATACCCACGTGACCTCAGCAAATCTCGACAGCTGGCACCGCCTGGCTGCTGGATGTTCGGAATGCGCAGATAACGTGACCAGCAGTCCTGCGTGGTAGACAGTGAATGAAGCAGTACGCAAGGCTGATGCACGGTGTTTATAGAAACCAGGATAGACATGGCGATCGGAAGCCTCGATAAAGCGCCCCAGACCGAGAAATTTGATAGAGCGCTTGCTCGGTGAGAAAAGTCGTAGAAATTCTCGGACGGGTCGGTCTCCTATCGTTAGTGATTGTCGTCATGGCAAGAAAACACCACGATAGCATCATCTAGCGATGTCCTCCTGGCCAACCACGAACAGTGTGATAAGGGCTGATTTCACGGGATGGCCGAGGCAAAGCCGTAAAGGGTAGCAAAGCGCCGCTGCGCCGGTCCTTGCGGAAGATGGCCGTAGCCTCTCTGGGAAGCTTAGGAAGCCGCGATTGATGAAAAGGGCGGGGGGCCGCTTTTTGTAGTGTCGCAGAGCAATCAGCATCGTGAGGATGTTAAGCGACAAGCTCGGGCGTGCACTCGGGTCTTGGGGGGTATCGCCTATCATATCTCCTGCGACGACCGAGGGCGAATCCGGAACTGCGAGCTGGTCAGCTTGCGACCGAAGGCTTTCCGAGGCAGTTTGAGCTCCACTACGGCGGACGGAAGCACCAGAATGAACAGGGGGCTTGAATCCGTATATCCACAGAAGGGGAAAGCAATGGAGGCTCGTCCCACGGTCCCACGGTCCCAGCCTCCCAGATTCTCCACCGGGAGAAGGGCCCCCCACCAAAGGAGGAGACACCCCCGGCCGCCGGCCCCCGGTTTTGCAGGCTTGAGTGAGATAAAAATTGCGCCAAAACAATGTCTCCAGACCAGAAAATTTTGGTGATATTGTAATTGCCCCTGATGATTGGATGCCGCAATCAGCGCAGACCCCAAACACCCGAGGTACCACTCGTTAGTGCGAGGGAGACAGGTACATGATAATGGCGACATGAGGACACCCGAACAGGAGTTGCCGCATGCCACAGGCTACAGCTGTCCCGTGGAGTCTGGACTTGTGATGCCCGGATTGGAATCGCAATGAACCGTTTTCCTCCTCCTGTGCGGGACTTTCCTTCTCCCATGCCGGTAGCATAGTTCTTTTGGATCGAACTCGTGTCGCGGGGTCGGTGAAACAGTCTCAAAGATGCGAGGCTGAACCTCATGTTGTCGTCTTTAGCTGGACAGACAGAAGTACCTAGGCCTTAGTAAGGAAGTACCTTCAATCTGTAGCCGTCCTGCGCGCTGCTGCCCGCCGCTGAACTGACAGGAACCTAGCCGGCTGGACGGGACCTCCAGATCAACAGTAAGGTAGCAATGTCCAATCACCCAATGATAGCCGTGTACAACAGTATCAGGTATCTTCCAGCGGCAAGAGTTTTTGGGACATGACTCTGGCTTCTGCAGCCCTGGACGAGATGCAGACTGCATTGCAAAAGTCTGAGACGAGGCCCTTGCGACGGCAAAATACAGTACTCCGTACGCCCTCAAGACCTTTGATTTCTCCGCATGGAGCTGTCCTGGCTTCCCTGGGCTTGTCCTGGTCGTGTGCGATGGACGTCGTCCAGCCGCGTGGGGAAGAAACGGAGAGCCTTGTCGTGGTCGCCCAAAGTCCGGATATCCATACCGTGACACAGGAAGAAGAAAAGGCCGGACAGGCGGGTGGTGGCCGGCGTTGTCGGGTAAGGCAGCAAGTATCGAGTATCCGTCGGTACCTCAAGTATGCGTGGTAGGGAACCTGACTCCAGGTACAAATCTTCACATGTGGAGGCAACGTGAGTGTCGCAGACTCGCAGCCAGTGGCCGTGTGGCTCAGTGCTGCAGCAGCGGTAGCCCCGGGGTCTGGAGGGAGCACACCCGTCTTTATGGGGATTAGCCTCGTCTCCGGGCGGAACCTGACATGAGACGGACAAAGTCCAGTCTGTTCACTCCTGCCTCTTGATCGGCCGTCTTCGTGTGTGATGGATGAGCGTTCGGGCGGGCGGTCGGACCAAGGTAGAGGTAGACACATGCTGTCAATTGAATTGTGCATAATGCTCCCGTTCTCATAGCAATAGACCAAAGTCAAGACGGATGAACGGGACTGTGACCACATTCCAAAGGCCAAGAATTGGGGTAACGAGTTGTATCAACGAGCTCCGGGTGACGGCATGCAGTGCAAACAGATGTCGTAGGAATGTTTATCAGTGACGTTTTTGCACCTCGACTCCTTGCGCTGGGCGACTTGCTATTCGCCATTCGCCCTTGCCGGACGCCGTATCCGACCGCGGTACTTGGTATTGTTCTTGTCATGTCTCGCGTCATTGGTCTCTTTGCAGATGCCTATATTTGGCCTTTGCCTCCGTCTCGATCATGTTCACCAAACCAAAATCAGTTCCCTGTCGAGGCAAATCAGTCAGCGGATGAACATTGTTCAAGTACCTACGTAGTAGCAGTATCGTGATACGATGGAGATTCATATGAAATTTGTGCGCGATAGAGAGGGGCCGGTCAAAACAGCGATACAAGTGCAAAGGTCGTGAGCGAGGGGGGATTGCAGAGGGGAAAAAAGCACTCGAGAAAAGGTACATGTGGCTTTGGACAGGGGTGTTTACCTCTGGGCAAAGAGCAGTTGCGGTGCAAGGTCTCCGCAATGCAGCAGGGAACACCGCGATACGGAGCAGGGGAAATGGGACAGAATGGGGTGTACTTTCGGAAGGTACTTTCCTGAGGTCGTCGTTGTTTCCGTGAAAGTGAAGAAAAGCAGCCCCACTCCAGTCCACTGCTGCTCTTTGCTGCTGAGTGAAAAATAATCCAATCTCGCTGATTCGTCCGTTGGCCCGTCGTCGCCTTCGTCATAGCCGAGGAGGCCCACCTTGGCCGACCCTGTTCCTCAGTACCTTCTCCACAGTCCACACAGCAGCGCGGCAACCAGACGGCCTGCGCCCAATTTGAGCCGAGCACGCACCGTGGCCACCCCCCAAAAGCTGCCGCGGAAAGAGCCCAGAGCGAGGTGAAAGAGGGCAAAAGTGAGTGTGATCCGGAAAGAAGGTGCGAGGATTTTTTACTGCCACCCCCATCCGGAAAGACCTAGGCCTGGCTTGCTTTGCCGCCTTTCTTCTACTACTTGACCTCCTCGTCGGAAATTCTCTCCACCTTCTTGTTTTCTTCCTCTTAATATTCTTTTCCTTTCCTCCATCCTCACAAACAAAGTCCCTTGAACAGGCAAGGGCACTTGAGATATCTGTTGCGAGCTTCATCACAGCTCGGACAACTCTCCACTCAAGCTCAATTGACCAGTTTTATTGCTGCTCTCAGTGTCAACACCAATCATGTTGGCTTCACGACAGCTCCTGGGCTCTGTTGCCCGGAGCCGTACTGCCGCCAGTGCCCGTCTGGGACTGCGTGGCATGGCTACCGTTTCTGACTCTCCCCTTGACCGCAAGGTAAGATACTTCCCCCTCTAACGCTAGAAAACCGTGGTCTACGGTGTATTCTGTCTGGACAGCATGGCCGGGCGCTTCTTTGGCATCGCGTACGTGTTTGCTCGACTTGACAAGGGTGCTGACTCGTCGAAAACAGGTCAAGCAGAACATCCACGAGGAGGGCAACTTCATCAACTACAAGAAGATGTCCGAGAACCTGTCCATCGTTCGCCAGCGTCTCAACCGCCCCCTGGCCTACGCTGAGAAGATTCTCTACTCCCACTTGGACGACCCTCACGGACAAGAGATCGAGCGTGGTGTCTCATACCTGAAGCTCCGCCCCGATCGCGTTGCTTGCCAGGATGCCACTGCTCAGATGGCTATTCTGCAGTTCATGTCTGCTGGCATGCCCTCCGTCGCCAACCCTACTACTGTCCACTGCGATCACTTGATCGAGGCTCAGATTGGTGGCTCTAAGGATCTTGCCCGTGCCGTTGGCATCAACAAGGAGGTCTACGACTTCCTTGCCTCTGCTTGCGCCAAGTACAACATCGGTTTCTGGAAGCCCGGCTCTGGTATCATCCACCAGATTGTCCTCGAGAACTACGCTTTCCCCGGTGGTCTTCTTATCGGAACTGACTCTCACACTCCCAACGCTGGTGGTCTCGGTATGTGCGCTATCGGTGTCGGTGGTGCTGACGCCGTCGATGTCATGGCCAACCTTCCCTGGGAGCTGAAGGCCCCCAAGGTTATCGGTGTCAAGCTCACTGGTGCTCTGAACCCCTGGGTCACTCCCAAGGATATCATTCTCAAGGTTGCCGGTATCTTGACCGTCAAGGGTGGTACTGGTGCCATTGTTGAGTACCACGGCCCTGGTGTCGACACCCTCTCTGCCACTGGTATGGGAACTATCTGCAACATGGGTGCTGAGATCGGTGCCACCACCTCCCTCTTCCCCTTCAACGAGTCCATGCACAAGTACCTCACTGCCACCAAGCGTAAGGACATTGGTGACTTCGCGAAGACCTACGCCAAGGAGCTTCGCGAGGATGAGGGTGCTGAGTACGACCAGCTCATCGAGATCAACCTGTCCGAGCTCGAGCCCCACATCAACGGTCCCTTCACCCCCGATTTGGCCACCCCCATCTCCAAGTTCAGCGAGGCTGTCAAGGCCAACAACTGGCCCGAGGAGCTCAAGGTCGGTCTGATCGGTTCTTGCACCAACTCCTCCTACGAGGACATGACCCGCGGTGCTGCCATCGCTCGCGACGCTCTCGACCACGGTATCAAGTCCAAGGCCATCTTCACCATCACCCCCGGTTCCGAGCAGATTCGCGCCACCATTGAGCGCGATGGTCAGCTTCAGACCTTCGAGGAGTACGGCGGTATTGTCCTTGCCAACGCCTGCGGTCCCTGCATTGGTCAGTGGGATCGTCAGGATGTCAAGAAGGGCACCCCCAACTCCATCATCTCTTCCTACAACCGTAACTTCACCGGACGTAACGACGGTAACCCCGCCACCCACTCCTTCGTCGCCTCTCCCGACATGGTCGTTGCCATGACTGTCGCCGGCAGCCTCCACTTCAACCCCCTTACCGACAAGCTTAAGGACAAGGACGGCAACGAGTTCATGCTCAAGCCTCCTTCCGGAGACTCTCTCCCCAGCCGCGGATACGACCCCGGCCAGAACACCTACCAGGCTCCTCCCGCCGACCGCAGCACCGTCAACGTCCAGGTCTCTCCCTCCTCCGACCGTCTTCAGATCCTGTCCTCCTTCCAGCCTTGGGATGGCAAGGACGTCAACGATATCCCCATCCTGATCAAGTGCAAGGGCAAGACCACCACTGACCACATCTCCATGGCCGGTCCCTGGTTGAAGTACCGTGGCCACTTGGACAACATCTCCAACAACATGTTGATTGGTGCCATCAACGAGGCCAACGGCGAGGCCAACAAGATTCAGAACTTCACCACCGGCGAATGGGACGCCGTCCCTGCCGTCGCCCGTGACTACAAGGCCAAGGGTATTAAGTGGGTTGTCATTGGTGACTGGAACTACGGCGAGGGTTCTTCCCGTGAGCACGCCGCTCTTGAGCCCCGTCACCTTGGTGGTCTTGCCATCATCACCCGCTCCTTCGCCCGTATTCACGAGACCAACCTGAAGAAGCAGGGTATGCTTCCTCTTACCTTCTCCGACCCCGCCGACTACGACAAGATCAGACCCGAGGACAAGGTCGACATCCTCGCCACCGAGCTCGAGGTCGGCAAGCCTCTGACCATGGTTGTCCACCCCAAGGATGGCAAGGCCTTCGAGGTCAAGCTCTCCCACACCTTCAACGCCCCCCAGATTGAGTGGTTCAAGAACGGTTCCGCTCTTAACACCATGGCCAAGTCCGCTGGCAAGTCATAAACGGACAATGTTACGTTAGCGATACGGGTCAGGGCGATATGTGGTTAGGCGGTGTAGGCGTACCTCTGTTTATTTAGCATGTTCTGGGGTGTCGGTCGGTATAACTAAAGTGTATGGCCGCGTTACGCCCTTTGTTTTGGTCGGGCAAATACCTCTGGGACTATTGTTTTTTCTATGTCATGTAGGCCATGATTTCCTAGTATGTACAAATTTGAAACGTTCAAACAAAATTTCAACGCAATGTGACAATGCGGGAGCGGGTACAACGGTGTTCAAGCATTGTGAACTCGCATGTGATGTTCTAATACTTCACCAATGATCGATATTAAAAGCACTTTAGAGACCCAGGATGAGTTACATAAAGCGCTGTAACGCTGTTACAGGCACGTGATGATAAGAGGTGGATACGTCGTACAACAGGGGTCTTATCTAACATTTTTGGGATCGTCCGAAGAGGTCCGAGTGGACCGGGAGCATGCGACAGGTTGTCTACAATTTCCCAGCTGCAGCAAAACACACAATCTCCGTGGTGCCAACTCAAGCCGATTCTCATGCCTTGTGCTGCCGATTGGACTCATCGCTAGAACGACTTTCGACTTTGAACGCAGCGATTGGCGTTTGCTCGACCGCCAATTTTCCCACCCGACCCTCGACCCTCGACCCTCGACCCCTCTGGATCCCGTGAATCCCGGAGGCGGCGGGCGCGATGGCTTCCAACATAACGTCCTTCAGCACCCTTCGGGCTCGCTCTTACGTATTTCGTTTACCGCTCTTTACGCGCATTGTTCTCCTGGTCATTATCGCAGCATGGTTCGCAGGTCTTCAACATTCGTGGGATGTCAGGCACTGGGGCGCCCTGATTCCTGACCAGCTGTCCTTTACCTCTTGTAAGCTTCCCTTGCCTGCCAGGCCGCTTTCTACAGGCGCACTTTGTACTCATTGTATTGTGGCGATAGCATACCGAATGAATACGTTCCCTTTCGTTCATGTGAATCTCATCCATACGATCATGAATCTGGCGGCTCTCGCGCCGTTGATGGAGCGGTTCGAGGCAGAATTCGGCACCTTGACCTCTATCGCCCTCTTCATCGGCCGTAAGATATATCCTGGTCTTCTCTATAAGTCGCGGGCGACTAATTTTCTGCAGCTCTGAGCACAATCCCGGCTATTCTCTACACCTTGATCGAACGGTTCCTCTTCAAGGGCAACACCGAAGTTATGGGAGCTAGGTAAGAAACTATACAGGTGACGCCCGCGAGCGCAAGAGGGATGGAAACTAACGAGAAGAATCACAATGTAGCGTCTGGGTCTTTTTGCTCTTGGGCATCGAGGCGATTCGAACGTACAAGACGAACCCCCACCTGACGATTGCGACGTACTCAATTCCGACGTGGACAACCCCCCTGATCCTCATTCTGGTGGTTACGGCGCTCGTTCCTGGCACCAGCTTGCTTGGTCACCTCTGCGGCGTCCTGGTTGGATATCTCTGTAAGCGACCTGCCCCTATCCTGCTAGAAGGATGTATGACTAACTCAACGTTACTTTTCTAGTCGGCCTCGGCTACCTGAAGTTCCTCAGCCCACCCGAAAAGGCCCTGCGATGGATCGAGTCGAAGCTGAACCTCCTTGGCCGGCTGCCGCACTACGTGAGCGTCGACCAGAAGACATACGGTCGATTCGGGGTCTTGCCCACCAACACCCATGCTGGTGGCGGCAGCGCACCGATTGCGCTTGTTGGCACGACTCAACGACTTGGGCCATGAAAGCACTATGGGTGTGTTTCTTGAAAGCTTGTAATACTACATGGCACACTTTGTCCCGGTTAGGCTGCTTTTTGCACCTTGGTCGGAGTTTGGGAGTTCATAATGCAGGCAAAAAAAAAGTGGCATATATACAAGGCGGGGTAGATTTTGTTTTGTATTGCCAGTTCTCTCTATGAGTGTTTATTTATGATTGTAAACTATATAATATGAAGATTCTCGTATGTCTCATCATCACTGGCTTTTACCGGAGCATTTGCGTGTAGGCATACCGTGATACCGTATGGGTTCAATACTCTTGGTCTCTTGATGACCGGTTTCTCCGGCAATGTTGTGTGATGCGAGAAGGACGGTAGTACAATACAGATATCATGCCAGTTCGAAGGAAGTTTATCTGATCTTTCAAGTTGAATTCGGCTAATGTAAAAGCATGTACGTATCGTACTGCTATGTGACATTAGATGCTCGTCGCCCCCGTTGGCCGAGGCTTATAGAAACCAACCAGACGAGTAAGCACGATCACATCTGTCTAGCTAACTTGGCAATAAATCATCTGATGTGGACATCAGATCCTTTCCTCGCCTTGAACCGTATCTTGGAGGTTCAATTTGCAACAGTCGGGGCAGATGTAGCTAAAAAGAAAATCATTGTCGAAGCATAGCTTGGCTCGAATGCCTTCACCCCACTCTCATCCCATGAAAAAGGGCCCCACTTCGTCCCTGCTATCCGGGGCTAATCCGCATGCGCTCTAGCCCCATCCGCCAAAATGCTAATAAGAATTTCTGCGCTCGTTCAATCTTTGCCTTTTCTTCTTTTTTTCTCTTCACATTCAAACGTAACACGATCCTGTCAAAATAAGCTGCTTGTCAACCTCTTCCATATTTGCCGCATTCCAGGATCATAGTTTCTAGAGTACTCAGCCGCTCGTTTGAGGGTCGTCATCGCTTTGCGCTTCCGTGATGGCCTCCCATGAAGAAGTGGCTACATGCTTCCAACCAAAACATTGAAAACTTGCCGTTGCTCTGATCTCGCCATGCCCTTAAGCAAGAAGCATCACAAATAAGGTAGATGAAAGCCAAGTTGAACGCTAAAAAGTGCTGGATATCTTTTTTGTAAAACTTCTATCGATACATCCCACCCTACGCAGGCGCGGGAGTCGGTCCCTTGAAGTATTTGCTAGGGACCAACGGCATCTTGGACACCACGGCTCCCCTCTTCTTGCCTCTCACCACAACGTCCAGTTCGGTGCCGGACTTGTGCAGACCCTCCTTGACGTAGCCCATGGCGATGTTCTTGCCCAACGTCGGGCTGGGCGAGCCGCTGGTGATGACACCGACCTTCTCCCCGTCCTTTGTAAAGATCTCGGCGCCCTCGCGGGCCGGCGCGCCCGAGATCACAAAGCCCACGCGGCGCCTCTCGATGCCCGCGCCTCCCTTGCTCTTAGGCACGAGCTGCTTGTTGATCACCTCGGCGCCGTGGAAGCCGCCCTTTGTGCGGCGCTCCTTGGGGATGATCCACGACAGGCTGCCTTCGACGGGGGTCGTCGTGTCGTCAATGTCGTGGCCGTACAGGCACATGCCGGCCTCGAGGCGCAGGCTGTCGCGCGGGCCGAGACCCGCGAGCTGCAGCCTCTCCGGGCCGGCGACCTTCAAAAGCGTCTCGGCGATGGGGCCGGCCTCGCCGTTGGTGGACTTAAAGGAGATTTCGAAGCCGTCCTCACCCGTGTAGCCTCCGCGGCTGATCATGGCCTTTTCGGGCGTCGATTGCCACTGGCCCTGGCCGTCCTGGTACCGGAGGCGGGCGAAGCCCGTGTTGCCAAAGTAGAGGGTGCTCAGGTCCAGCCCGTCGGCCGGGTCGAGGACCTCCTGGAGGATCTCGGCGCTCTGGGGGCCCTGGAGGGCGACGAGGCCGTAGCCCTCGAGGACCTCCCACCAGAAGTCGGTGCCCTCGGGGTTCTGGAGCGCGGCGGTGTGCTCGGTGAGGTAGGCAAAGATCTTTTCGCGGGTGCCGGCGTTGGAGACGACGGCGTACTCGTGCTCGCCGAGGCGGGTGATCATTGTGTCGTCGACGATGCCGCCCGTGCCCGGGTGGAGGAAGGTGCTGAGCTTGCTCGTGTTGAGCTCCATGTCGGCGACGCTGGAGGGGGTGACGGTCTCGAGGAAGGCGGCGGCCTTGGGGCCGGTAAAGCGGTGCTGGACCATGTGGGAGACGTCAAAGAGGGAGGCGTGGGTGCGGGTGAAGTGGTGGGACTCGGCGAGGGACTGGCCGGCGTACTGGACGGGCATGTGGTGGCCGCCGAAGATGACCATTTTGCCGCCGTGGGCGACGTGGAAGTCGTAGAGGGGGGTCTTGTCCTGCTTGGAGAAGGCGGCGAGCTTCTCTTTCCAGTTGGCGCGGGATGCCGAGCTGTACAAGCGGTGGTTGTTGTGTAATTGTGATGCTCCCGCCGTTCTCGGGGCCGGGGCCGTGGAGCTCAGTCCGGCGACGGGTGCGAGGGACCGGCCCTGGCGAGCGGGAGAGGCCAAGAAGGGCCTTGCCGTCCGGGCGGCTGCTACCAATCTTGATCGTGTCATTTTTAAAAGTCCAATTGAGCTGGTATATTGGTGAAAAGATTGAGAAATGAACAGAAAGATCAAGGTTTCAAGAGGAGGAGGAGGGGAGGAGGCCCCAAGGTATGACGGAGAGCTTTCCCTTGTACCGATAAGGTATTCGGATGCGATAAGATGATGCGGGTCCGAAGCTGGCCGAGCTCTCTGGTGTTTGATTGGTGAATTGGGCGGAATCGTCTCGGTCCAGGATCCGAGCGCTCGGTATGGCACCCGCCGGCCGGCGGTCTCGCACTTCTGAAAGTATGAATGTTGGTTGAGGCGGTCGGGTGAGTTTCCTCTGCGGCTCGTTCAACGGGCAGATAGCCGCTCGGTCTGTTATCTGCGTCTCGTACACAGTCGTCCCCTCACTCTATCTTAGTAGCTTGTCTTCCCATCCGCAGATAGATGTGTATCTCAAAAGGTAGCATCGAGTCATTGGTACAACTCAGCTGAGCGCTATTGGTATCTCGGTGATGGTTACCTGGTGGAAGAGCTGTGATAGTTGCATTGTAACATACTAATGAGCCAGTATCTGTCGAATGCCTCTCTAGCTATCGTACAGATTTCGCCCTCGAAGAGTGAGTTTCGCTTTACGATACGATACCGAACAAACACCACTGGGCTCATTCCTCTTTCTATTGGATCAAGAAACCCCCTTCACCAATTCCCTTCATCGCAAGCCAGTCCTGTCACATGGACGCTGCTTCCTGGGACATGACTAGAAGAATCAACCCGCGGGGAAGGTCTGCCGAGGTGCTCAACAGACTCGTTCTCTTCAAGTTCAGTCAGGCCAATACCGTTTCAAAGGTCTAACTGGATCATAGACCAATAAGAAATCGTAAGGCGTGGGAAGTACCTAGGGAGTAGGGAGCAGGCCGTATTTGGATGTTGGCTCGAGGCTGCAACCCATACTGTTGAGCGTAGTCATTTGAGGAATTGGGATAGAGACCGAGGCCCACAGTTGGCTCGCTCAACCCGTTGCTCTGCCAAATGGCCTGTCTACTAGACTCAGTCGTTGCTGCCTTGACGAAACAGAGAGCTGAGCATGCTGAATCAATACCATACATGCGTAAGTCGATTAGACTTCCGCTAAGAGCATTTATCGGCTCGTAATGCAACCCGACTTATAAAGGCAAAGAAGGGACCCAGACCACCAGAACTAGCTACCTTACCCTGGAAGTTGCAATTGGGGTTAACAGAGGGACCTAGGCATTAGTTTCCAGACTCATGGAAAAGTGAGAAACCACGACACAACTCTTCAACGTTGGTATCCCTGCAACATTGGGTTCTGAGACATCAAAGCAAAGTGCGGCTGAGAAAGTCAAAACACACCTAGCACTTCTTATGTCGTATCCCGAGTTGGAAGGGAAAATGGTGCCTGGTACGGAACTAGTAGGGCACTATTGTACCTTTGGAGTTGCCCATGTGAAGCGTGGGGGATGCAAAAAGGCCCAACAGCTCGCCAAGGCGTGTTTCCAATCGCCCATGGCAAATCTCGATGACATGTAAGCGGGTTCTCTTCATGGACCTCGAAAAGCCTATGTCTCTTCCGAAACACAAAGGATCGGCATTCGTCGTACAAATCGATGGGTCGCAGAGCTTGAGATTGGCATCAGTTATGGAGCTGGAAGCTATACCACTTGGACTATAGTAGTATAGCAGGTACCTCAAAGCAAAGCTCTCCACAGTAGGTCGGTTGAGGCAAGAAGAAAAACCGTGGGAACCTCGGGCGCCCACCAACCACGGACTGTCTCGACTCACATCACGCCAGGCTACAGGAACTTGTGCTTATTCGAGTGATGGTAGCGACACATGGCGTGAACATCTCACCTCATGATCAGGCCGCAATGGAAAGAAGAAGCAGCAGAAAGCGTGAGGAAGCGTTTTTGGGGAATGAGACGGAGAAAGCCACAGGGCGGCGCCACGTTGAGCTTGCAAGGAGCAGCCGTGGCGTGGCGGGCAATTGCGTGGGTCACTCGCCACATGCCCAAAAGCCATCGGGCGTGGGGTCGCGTCGAGAAGGGAGGGGAGGTTCGCGCGAGGTTCGATCGCAGGCACACAGCTCGATGGCCGTAGCCACACTTGGATGGAGGAGGAAGCATGGTTGGACCAGGGGTGGGAGGGAAGCCACAAATCGGGAGCCGCCTCATGTCTCTCCAAGTCTCACTTCTTCAACTCCCACTCCCACTGTCCAGTGTCCACACTTATAAGACGGTCTTTTTATGAGGAGGAAGGGAAAAAAAAGAAGAGGCTAAAGCACCGTGGCATCTGGCACCCTCGGCAAAGCGGACCCCCGCAAAAGCTCTTTTGCTGGGATGCGACCCCTGCTCGTGGTCTGCGCAGTATGTGGTTTTGAAGTTCCGAGACTTAAACATTTTCTCGACGCAATCCAGGCTCCAGGTCGTTTCCGTTTCT